GTAATTAAGGAAGGTCCAGTTAAGAAAAATTCAAACTGAAAAGATTGCAGTGTGTTAATAGAATTTTTCAGCATGGTGCTTTTTCAAATGTATGATCAAAAACCCCCCGCTGGTACATTTTCAAAAGATTTCCCTCTCAAAACAGGTCATCTTTGTGGATAGTAAGAATGCCTAGAAGGCTAAAACCTTGCTTGGACCGGCAGAACAGAACTGAAGATCTAGTTAAGAGTTGTTGCTGCATAAGTTTTACACATTCAAAGCAACATTTGGCTCTGTTGTCCCAGCTCCGTCTGCGTTAGCGAGTACGCCTCATTCATACTCAGCGTGTCCCTCTTCGAATTTGGTTTTGATTGGAGCTTGTCACCACTTGATGGCTTTCAGTTAAGCATAATACAAACATTAGCGACAGGAGCCGAGCACAACTAGCCACGTCAGTGAAAGTCAAGAATATAATTTTTACAGAATTTTTTTCTGCCAGGTGCCCTGCAAACCTCATTTTTTGTGTAATAAACTACAACCGAAGTGTCTTATGGCTCGAATTTAAGCCTTCATTAAAAATGAAGTTTGCTTTATTTTCTTTGATTTTAAGCACACACCATTTTTGTTAAAATTTGAACATAATTTATAACGAAGACGATGAATATTCTTCCAAAAGTTTTTTTTCCTTTGCCCGTGTGTTCTTTAGATAAATGCAGGATATTCGATTTCTTGAAGTGCTAAATTTCAATTAATCATGATACTCTTGTATGCATTATGTCCAAACAAATATAAATCGTTTACAGTCCGCTATAAAAGCTAGTCACTCGCTTCAATGATAATAAAAACCACGGATGAAAAGTATGATTCACTCACCGTCTGCCAAAGGATCAAATCAAACTATCCAACTGAAATCTTGAAACCTCTCCAAGTGATTGAATCTGAAAAGCACAAAGAAGTGGTGGTTTGTCTTGTGAGATAAACATCTCCATTAAATGTGAATATAGGGTTGTGCCTTGAAACGTGCCGAATTTGTTACCTGTCCAATTCAAATTAAAACTCGTCCAAAGGTTTCTCAATGCTGGCATAAAACCAACAATACTCTATTTTCCCGTCTTGACAAACCTGTCTAGAAATGTCCACGAAATTGCTAAGATTCAAGATTGTCGATGAATAGTCGCTCTCGGCTTTGTAGTTGTTTAAACCTTTTTTTTGACACGCGCCCAGCGGTAGGCGACTGATGCCTTGCGGTTGCTGGTTAATTTCGCGCCAAAAACCAATCGGCTGTTGAATTGAAGAGATTGTTTTGTCTTTAGATTCCCATCTTATTTATTATAAGACGAGAAGTCTATGCCAATATGTATTATATTTTTTTGTCTCTTGTCTCTCTTGTCTCAACTTTAAAAGGTGAAGGAAAGTAGCCAAACTACGTCGTTTATCTCTTTGGTTCAAATCCTTGATATCTCAGAAAAAACTTCGTTCAAGAGTTGGCGTTTAGGCTTAGGCTCTTCCCACATAATTGTAAAACATTTAAATTGTTTACGAATGTGGACTGGAATAAACCTTTGTTTAAGCTATTATATGTCACTTTGTTATGTAACACATGTCTAAAATTTGCAACATTGCAAACTTTCCAGTGCGAAAACTTCCGAGATTTTATGGCTATTCAAAGCTACAATAGAAATGTTGCGAATTTCGGTTGTTTACGTGGTTGAAGTTTAGCCTCTGATCGAAGAAAAACTTTTCGACTGTATATTGCGGAGCGCTATCAAGAAAAATAAATTTTTTCGATTAAACAAATGTTAATGAACCGCACTGTCTTGTAATCGCATGATACGCGCCTAGCGAATTCTTGAGGCAATTTGTATCGTGACAGTTCACTAAGCATGTAACACAACTCATAACAACTTCATGTTGCCATTTATTAACTTTCGAAAAGGTGTTAAGGGGTTAATTTCGATGTGTCTCTGTGATCTCCTGAGCACGATGATTATTCTTCCCTTTCCGAGTTAGGTTCTATTCAACTTGACCAGGAGTCTATCTGCTATCAAAATAAATCCACCCGAAATTATACGTCATGTAATGTGTCTCGAGGAGTCATTGGGTTTCATTGGCTGATGGTTAAGGTGGGCATGCAATGTTTATGAAGCAACAGTTTCAAGTTCGACTTCCTTGTCACGAATCTAGCTCCTCTTTGCCGGATGGATTTAAAGTATAACGAAGATACCATTGATTAAACTTGGTCGAAAGTTTGCCGAAGGTACGTACTGTCAAACATAAACTTGGTGCGACGGATCCTTTTTTCCCAGAGCATTCTGATGAACATTGTCGCAATTTATCTCGAACATTTTCTCGCGCTTACATGTGAATGACAGGCAATTTANTTTTGACACGCGCCCAGCGGTAGGCGACTGATGCCTTGCGGTTGCTGGTTAATTTCGCGCCAAAAACCAATCGGCTGTTGAATTGAAGAGATTGTTTTGTCTTTAGATTCCCATCTTATTAATTATAAGACCAGAAGTCTATGCCAATATGTATTATTTTTTTGTCTCTTGTCTCAACTTTAAAAGGTGAAGGAAAGTAGCTAAACTACGTCGTTTATCTCTTTGGTTCAAATCCTTGATATCTCAGAAAAAAACTTCGTTCAAGAGTTGGCGTTTAGGCTTAGGCTCTTCCCACATAATTGTAAAACATTTAAATTGTTTACGAATGTGGACTGGAATAAACCTTTGTTTATGCTATTATATGTCACTTTGTTATGTAACACTTGTCTAAAATTTGCAACATTGCAAACTTTCCAGTGCGAAAACTTCCAAGATTTTATGGCTACTCAAAGTTACAATAGAAATATTGCGAATTTCGGTTGTTTACTTGGTTGAAGTGTAGCCTCTGATCGAAGAAAAACTTTTCGACTGTATATTGCGGAGCGCTGTCAAGAAAAATAAATTTTTTCGATTAAACAAATGTTAATAAACCGCACTGTCTAGCGAATTCTTGAGGCAATTTGTATCGTGACAGTTCACTAAGCATGTAACACAACTCATAAGAACTTCTTGTTGCCATTTATTAACTTTCGAAAAAGTGTTAAGGGGTTAATTTCGATGTGTCTCTGTGATCTCCCGAGCACGATGATTATTCTTCCCTTTCTGAGGTAGGTTCTATTCAACTAGACCAGGAGTCTATCTGCTATCAAAATAAATCCACCCGAAATTATACGTCATGTAATGTGTCTCGAGGGGTCATTAGGTTTCATTGGCTGATGGTTAACGTGGGCATGCAATCTTTATGAAGCAACAGTTTCAAGTTTGACTTCCTTATCACGAATTTGCCTCTTTGCCGGATGGATTTAAAGTATAACGAAGATACCATTGATTAAACTTGGTCGAAAGTTTGCCAAAGGTACGTACTGTCAAACATAAACTTGGTGCGACGGATCCTTTTTTCCCAGAGTGTTCTGATGAACATTGTCGCAATTTATCTCGAACATTTTCTCGCGCTTACATGTGAATGACAGGCAATTTAAAAGATAACCGATATTAGGACTGTCGAAAACCTTTCACACTTTCAAATATTGAAGTTTTATTGATGGTAAATTGCTGTCATAGGCTGGTATTTCTCTGCAAGACTTATATTCGTATTGGGCGCGCTATCAGCTCTGAATGAAAAAAAACTTATAAAACGTTTAATAACCCATTCAAATGACAGAGGAGTTTGTAAAAAAACAGCCTGCATAAATTTGTTCCAAAAAACAAAACAAAACAAAAAAAACACCTAAAGATATTCTTTCGCTTTCATAGAACTAAAAGGAAAGAAGTTAAAGAGTGCTTTAATATATTATTGTGACTTTGTTATGACTGAACGTACGGTTTGTTTTCGATATATAGAACTTTGTAAATTCCACTCCATGAGAGGAAAGCACCTGCTTGAAAACTGGTTTGAGAAATTATGTAAATATGGCAATTACTGAAATAAACGTGCAAAAAGAAAACAACCTTAAACTTACCCTGGATATCATTTTAAGATTTGTAGGTTCATGAAACCAAAAAACACTGTTACATGTTAAGACGAAATCCGATAGGAAATCGATCAATTTCAGTTTTTATTGAACAAAAACCTTGCACCAGAATAATTTTAAGTATGTTACTGTCCTTTTTGTATTTTTTAAAAGCTAAGGATATAAATAGTTGCCTGAAATGAAAAGAAAATATGTTATATATATATATATTCACATGGGAACGCGAGGAAATAAATCAAAAAAGTTCCACGGGACAAACTGCGCAAACAGAGGCAAAATTTCATTATCAATTTCATTTCACCAGTACGTTCAAGTGTTTCATATGAACTCCAAAATTGTTTTTGACATCTGGTGTTAGTGGAAATGAATTGAGAAGATATTGAAAACAGCACCACGGAGGTTTGCAATACAAATGATGCAAATAATCCTGGTGCAAAATTTTTGTCCACTCGTTACTCGAACTTCTGGTGGATTCTCTCTTAAGTTTTCGATCACCTGGTAGTATATGCAAAATTCCATGGTTCCCTCTGGAGTCCAGACGTGCCTGTCACTTTTGTATATCCTTGATCATTTTATTATTTCTCCTTAAAGTACCTTATTTAGCTTAAAAGCTACCGATTATAAGAATAAAGCATTTGATCAAACCCAGGGAAAACATCAAAAGGCTAACATCTTTTAAGGGGAAATATAAAAGTAGAAACGCTGATTTTGTTGCAGACCTAATAAAGCAATAGTAAAACATTTTAGGTACTTTTTTCTTACACTGTAGATTCAAACTGTTTTTTTTTTCATCAGTAAGAACGCTTGTACGCATCTGTATTTTCTTCATGTGATAACATCTCCTTTCCTTCTAAGAAATTGACAAAGTACTTCACATTTTGATGCGAGGAAATGAGATTTCTTCCACAGTACTTTTTGTTTTATGTGTTTGAGGCTGTGTTGTGATGTACACTTGGTCGAATGCTTGCAAATCTTGAAACATCGATACGCAAAAGATGAAAAATGAAACAAATGATTACTTGTTTCATTTTTCAGAGTGGCTTTAAGAGCGCTCATTTTTTCAGGCCAATAATGTGTTCACGAAAAGGTTGCGCAAAACATTTTACCATGAAAAAGGAAGTGACAGACTAATTATTCACGCCATTACCACTCCGTTTTCTAAATTGTTTAATTTGATTCGGAGTAAAAATATATTGGTCTCCCATAGAGACTGAAAAGCTTTGCATCAAATTGCGGGAATATCAGCTTTCTTAAACACTAATTAAATGCTTATGAGCATGTGTAAGCAATTGTAAGGGACGATACGACGTCAATAGGCGAAAAATGGTAAACGACGCAAATAATTACTAATCATGCAAAACCATGCACGAATATTAAGGTGGGTACGTGTTGAAAGAATTTACTGTCTTAGTATGACTAAAAAATTCTAATATAAGCTTAAGATGTATGGTTGATGGTAAAACACAATTCTGATCTAGTGTCTGTCAGAATATCAGAATTTCATTTGCTTGGTAAGTTCCTTGGTGTTAATGTCCAGTTCATATCTTGTACTCCTTGATAGTAGCCCTGTGCGTTATTATTTCACAGAACAGGCGCCCTGGCTGATTTGAATTTTGGCAAGCAAAATAAAGGACGTTTTATTTAAATAATCGTTCTGCTAGCTGGGCGCAATCAGTTTATATGAGCAGAAATCGTTGCGTTGCCAAAATATACAAACAAGGTTTTCACTTAACTCAAATTCGACTAACCTTGTTAAGTTGAACGAGGCTCTCCTAACTTTTACTCGTCGCTGCTGATGTGGTTTGTGTTCCCTATCTTGATATTATATAATTAATAGAAATCATTACATTTCTATAGCCCTAATCCACCACTTATTGCCCGAGGCACTTAATAATAAAAAAGAGAAAAATTTAAATATTAAAACTGGCTTTATTTAAATACGCAGGTAAAATGTTTCAATAGTAACTTTAAAAGATGTGTGCTAAAAGGTTCGTTTAAATAGATACGTTTTCAAACATTTTTTTTTTCAAAATTAATTCCTTATATTACACGGAATAGTAATCCACGGTCTGCGCTGCTACTGCAAATTGTTTGGGGGTTGGAAAAAAAAAAAATAAAATAATAATAATAAAAACTGCTCCAGGTTAGATCTCCTATCATTTTACCATTAATTTCTTCGCTTTTCATTCTTTCGGTGCATTCGGTGAAACTGGGACCGTGGAAGTTTATTGGGTTTTAATTAGTTTGAGGACGATCTGTCGAGACAACCCGCGTGTAGTCTTCTTACAAATAGGTCATATTCGTATTCCCGGCTGAGTAGCCTGCAACTGAGGTTAATAGGGCGAGTCTTTTCAAATGCAAATAGCAGTTATCTCTTTTTAATGATATTCCCCCGGCATGACCCTCCATTGCAAACTAATTCGTGAATACGAATATTGTCTGGCTATTAACCCGGTTGGTACAGCAGTCTCGTTTTTAACACAAAAATTGTCCGGCTTTTTCGTCCGAATTTCAATTTTCTTAATGTACAGCTATCCTGCTAAAAATAAAATCAAGCCAACCTATGTGGTAAAATATCAGGCGTGAAATAATAACTGAACAATTATTACAGGAGATTCTAATTGACTGATTCCAATTTTGGACACGGCACTATTAAAAATATTGATTAAACATTAGTTGCGTTATTTCAATCAGGTAAAATTGAATGGCACAAATTTTATACCACAGAAATAAGAATGATGTAAGGAAATAGAGCAACTCTCCTTCAATAGCTGATAGTCTGGTGTTTATTGATATATAGAGTAATTTGTATGGAAATTTGTATGGAAATTTCATACCTCAGTCTCTCTCAAGTTAGCTAAACAAGAGCGACAAAAATGTCAAAAAGGACTACCATGGCAATAGACACTTCAAAATTATACGACATAATAACATTGGCGACAATTTAAGGTCGGCACACACGAGGGGACTAGTCCATGCGACTAGTCCCTGCGATTAGTTCCTGCAACTAGTCGCGGGGACAAGTCCCGGGGACAAGTCCCGGGGACAAGTCCAATCGTGTGAACTGGCCATTTTTGCTTCAAAATCTAGTCGCAGGGACTAAAATTTGGTCCCTGCGACTAGTCCCACGAATTCAAACTGGTTTGAATTTTTGGGACAAGTCCCTGCGACTTGTTCCTCAAAACGCTTCGTGTGAACTGTTCGTGAGACAAGTCTCTGGACCAATCCCTTCGTCCAAAATCTTCAGGGGACTGGTTGTAGGGACTAGTCGCAGGTACTAGTCCCCTCGTGTATGCCGACCTTAAGCTTTACTCCTTATATTGACGCGATACAATAAACAAGTAAAAAACCCACGATTGTAAGAGTAATTTGTTACCCATGATTTTAAAAGGTAATAAAATGATATGCTTGTAAAATGACGAAATAATTTCACTTGCGTTTTGTCCAAATGCTAATAGTTTCCTTCGTTCTAAGGACATAGAGGCTAATTAGACCTAGAGGAAAATTAGTAGAATTTTGGGAAAACGCGCTTGAAATTATTTCCTAATCAGTTCACTTGTCGCCATTTGATTACTCATGCATATTCGCGCTTCATGAAAACAAAGACAGGACATTAAATTAAAAGAATAAAATGCTGGCCGCTAGATTCTTTTATCCTATTGTCTTGTGCACTGTGGCAAATTTCAACTGAGCAAGTTCTTTTTTCCAGTTTTGTTTTTTTCACGATAGAGAATCAGAAAACTGTTTTCATGGGAATCACATATAGGGACCTTTTATCCCCCTCGTCCAAGCCTTACAGGCTTACGAACAAAGAAAAGTTCAGGTCAGATGGGATTAGTAAGCGTACTTCGCACATACTTCAAAAATAACTATAATTTATAGAGAAGTGCTTAGGAACCAAAACGTTTTTTCTTTAAAAGAAGGTAGTTTACTGTTATTGATGGTAACTTTAAAGGACGATAAGGTTAATTGCTCGCAATAAAAAGCTAAGAAAAGTACAATAGGTTTGAGCTTTTACATCCCAAGAAAGAAAAAGAAAACTAATTACAATTTTCGGCACACTTTGAGGTCCATATAGAGGACTACATTGCATCGTGATAACTATCAATTCCAAGTTTCTCAGTTTGAAATAATTCAGAGCACCAAAGATGTTAAGAGAGAGAAAGACTAAAAAAAAATAAATAATAATAACCTAAGATTTCGGTTAAGTTTTGGCCATCGGCACTCTGGCAGCCAATAATAACTGATTACACAGTTTGACCGTTGCCGTCGCAAATTTCGTTTGCGGGTTGAAGTTGCACTGTTGCTCATTTCTTTGGAACAAAAATTGTCTTTATCTGCCGATATATTATCTCGATCAAACTTCTCAGGAAAGTGTAGGTGCATGATAAGTAGAAATAACTGAATTAATGCATTGATTACCACAGAGACGCTTATTGTAATTCCACTGTCATTTGATATGGAAAAAAAAAACAATTAGATGATTTTAAAAAATGTTGCAAAGAATGTTAAACGTTATCACTGAAGTAAGACTAATTGAGGCTTGGATTTCTCAGAAAATCTAATTAAGAAGCGACTTATCTGTTACAACATGTTTTTTTATGATGTCACGAGTTTTCTGCCGCGAACTGACTTCCGCAGCGGCTGTCCGGGTGATAGAACTTGGTTATTCTACAATTTCCAAGTTATTAAAAAAAGATTGGAAAAATCCTTTTGCTTTTCATAAAGATTAAAAAATTTGGCATTACCTTTGTTCCTTACTGAACGGTTTCCTCGTTATCAATCCCAATCTTCAGTGGCTCAAAAGTTACCGAGTTGTTCATAGTCCAGTAGTGTTTCGTGTTCTTCTCGGCTGTGATCTTCGCGCGAAGTAATCGAAGGCTTTCTTCGCAACTCGCCAGGGAGTCTATCTAAGTCATATTTCAAAAGAGTCTTTGATTACTTGGTTTTGTTCTGTTTTAATGTATGGCTGCCAATAAAAAGGTTATATTTATAATTGAAGGCATAAACGTCTTTCTTGACACTAAGCTCTACTTAATTAATTTTTGGGTTTGCTGAGCTGGGAGTCAATCAAGCAAAACGCAATTAATACGAACCTCTTCTCAAAGTAAAGACGGTTTCTTGCGTTATGCTCATGCGAATTTTAATAACATTTCATTGTGGCTTATGTTATTACAGTAAAGTCATACACTTGACGCCGTCGGATGTTAAATTGAAAACTAATTGATGATACGTTTGCTATAAGTCTAGTACCAATTGTCTTCAATATAATGCCTGTCAAATGTTGATTCCTGTTTTATTTTTGTACTCTATCGTATTAAAATATACATGAGTATGATTTCCAACTGAACTCAACTGCTGTTTACATTTGTTCTTTTCACCATGTAGTAATTATTACGCTTTGTTTACACTCACAACTTAATAATAATATGATGGTCAAACAAGGCAAAATCCCAGAGGGTTCCATCGTTATCGACTTTGTATTAAACACTTCTTTGTTGACGAACCTAGGTATTGTTTGCCTTGAGAGTCAATAAGCGTTGCAAATAAACGGCCAGAAGACGTACAATGCACACTTATAAGCTCGCTGTGTCTGACATCGGTAACGACAATTCCATGTTCTGTTATTTGCAGTGAAACGTCGACGTGTATGGTCAGGCATGTCTTGGAAGACCAGCTAATTGGTTAAACGAACATATAACTCGATTTAGGACGACTGGATCTTTCTCAAGTAAGCAAGACAGTGATAACCAAATTTCGTACTTCTCACGACCGGAATATAACGGGCGTCACACGCAAGGTAGATAATAGTTAAATGCATATAAAGACAAGAAAGCCAATACAACTGTCGAGTGAATCAAAAGACGCTTTAACACAGACCGTTTTAAATGCAAATTGGAAGACTAATTCAAACTTTCACCCGAGAATCTCAACCAACTGAGTGACCGTGAATTATCAAATTGTTTGCTAAATAGATGTTGGCTAGCTACATGCACAGAATGTGAGGCGAAAAGCTCATACTGATATCAGTTAACAAACGACTGTCAAAGTAAGTTTTAAGTGCTAATGAATTTGCTTCCAAGTGATCATGTTTGTTGGGAACTTAACACAGCTACAGTGCTCACTCACTCACGTCCAAAAACGAAAAGTACGCGCGAAACTCAGTGAATGACGACATTCAGTGAAGCCTTAAAGACCCCTTAAGGACAGAAAGTTTGAAAACTTCGAAAAACTATTTCCGGTTGGTGTTATGAATATAGAGTTAAACCTTTGTCTTCCATGATTTTTTATCTCATCCGGCTGTTGTTAAGACTTTCGTTTGTTAAAATGAAAATTTTGCTTGTTATTGTGAGCTGGTCATAGAACTGGGTAAGGACGACAGAGCTGTTTGTCTCATTTGCAAATGAGACAAACAGCAACATAATGCTACATAATGAGGCAATAAGACAAGCATTTACTGCAACATTTATGAGGCCAAACTTCTCTCAAGGGGACTAGATGATGATCCTAGATATAAACGTGGGTGAATAAGTACGCAGGATTGCGTCTATAGTCTGATTTTGCACTGTTCTGCGCTGTCCCATCATTTGAATGGAAACAATGGATGGAAAATTACATATGGCCACCCACGTTACATATGGCCTACCACGTCTCATACTTTAATAATCACATTTGTCCCAAGTCCAATATCAGTCTTGGACCTGTAACTTAAAGTCGGCTTTCAATCTAAAGCTGTTACCATTCAATGGCTAGAATCTCTATCTACGAAACTAAAATAACAGCATTATTAATAGCTCAATCCAATAGTTTTGGGTTCAAACCTAATGATTAAGTCTAAATGTTTGCCTGTAAAATCAGCTCGGTCGTTATGGCACTGAATTGATATTGAAACGCAAGCACATCTACAGAAACCATTTCCTACCTGTAGCTAGGTGAGACCATGCAAGGTGAAAAAAAACTAGTTTATGGACGAAATAACTCAAAAGTCATTTTCAGCATCATAAAGTTCATGAAGTCAGTAAATATCTAGCACTCCGATAACTTTTCAAACGTTTTTGCGACCAAAACTAAAATAGCGAATTCTCTGCATAACCATATTATTAATAATACTAGAGTCCCGTTTTACCTGACCAAATTATTTGTAACGAAAAACTGAGTGTTCAATTGCCAAAAGTTACCAAAACACAGATCGCAAGCCAATTAAATTTGGAATGAAGCTGAGATATTCAAACGAGCTAAGATCACCTGCCGGTAGAGAGAGGAAGGGGATAAGAAACTCTTGAAATAAAATAAGATGTTTTTTCTTTTGCCACTAAATGAACCTATTTTGTTCTTCAAAGGAACACCTGAGTCAGATGAAACTCCAATTTTCGACTGTGTTGAGTCATGTGCACCTGTTTAAACTTTGGTGTGGTGTTCAGTTGATTTGCTATACTCGAGATATCTAGACATTTTTGTTTACATTTTGAGAATTTCATAAGTTTTTTTTCATTCATTATTAATTTGTCCGAGCATAGGTGTTTCTCAGTGCAGTCCATAGATTGCTTTCTTTCAAACTATGTTGAAAAACTGGAAGTGAAATGCAAATTTCATATCTAAATTGAAAATATTTTTGTGTTTGTGATCGAAAAATAACTCATTAATCGAGTATCTAATTTAGCAAGATAGCATATGAAATCTGAGAAACTAGTTTAAACCTCCTCTTTACGCTCGTCTAAATGTATATGGAATTCAACGAAGTCTGAATCAGTGTCCGTCAGAGTTACTCCCAGAGCAAATGGAAGAAAGAAAAGATTGAAACATAGTCTTTTTGATAATGTAAGTCGCGTTTCATATTATTTTGTAACCTGAAAATGTAAATATGAATATTTTCAGCCAAGCGATTTCGAGAGTAAAAGGCTAACAGTAATTTTTTCTGCGTGTTTTTCATGAGCTAAAACAGAAGTCACGGAAAAGCGATTGGTTTTCCATCGATTTAGGAACTACAAGATTAAGATATAACCAAGAGCTTCGCAGCATTTTCTTGGAGAACAACAAACATTGCTTGAAACCGAGATAAAGTTCTAATAAACTTTAATCAAAAATGCCTATTTAATTAATAGTAAAATGGTGAAAAATTTACCATTTGTTTGGGACTCGCCGGTAAAATAATTTTGTAAGTACTGGTGACCGTTTTTTTAATGATTGCACCGGAGAATGAAAAGAATTTGAGGCAGACTTTTACCCTGTCTGCTTTTACTGTCTTTTATCTCAAAAGAGCAAAATTACAAGTGAGGAAAATCGGCCGATTGTATATAGGCTCCAGTATGAATTTTGGACGAAAGTAAAACTAGCGTCAAGAAAAGTGACTTTTAATGGCAACGTAACTGACAGAAAACTTTGGAAAAGAATCACGCCTTATACGCTCATCTCACATATACAAAGCTAGCCAAATTAGCAAAGTGCATCCTGACCCTAACAAATGAGCCACCTATGAGTTCAAACTACGAACATATTGACAAAACTTTTGATTTCTTAACAACAAACTACGAGACTGAGGTAAACACCTCAGATGTTGGACAAGTCAAGAGTTTTCGTGAACAGAACCTCGAAGTCGAGGTAAACAACATGCAAATGGCAGATTTTGATAAGAGGCTACTCAACGAAAAGACTTGAATAGTAAATAACTAAGCTTGACTCTTTTGTTAAATATACTGATGATTCTTTTAGTTATTTTTATTGTGTTCAATATATACTTATAAAGTTCAATTAGAGCGTCTAGTTTTAACAAAAGCTTACCACTTGAATAAAAAGCATTCAAAAAAGGACATCACTACGATCGAAAAATATTGAAGTGTTGTGTCTGGTGTTTGTTTCAGTTGCGTCACAGATCATTTAACACAGATGGACGAGCCTGAGAAATTCTGATTAAAAGAACGAAAATATGAGACTTTCGGTTCATGCCTAGTGCTGAATCGAGTTCCTTCGTTGTACACTTCCGGTTACTTTTTATTGTTTTACGGCAAATCGCAGTCAAATCTGGAATGGAACTTTAAAGCGTACGTCCCTGTTTAAGGTGGCTCAAAGCAGTTTCCAGAACTTTCCAAGACTTTTGATGGGTCGTTATGACCAGTCCAGTTAATGCTACAATCATGATACCTAGAAAACTGCTCAATCATTGGTTAACACATTGTTATAATTGTGGTGCCACAATAGGTTACCATAGTATTGGTATGACCTACTGAAATAATCCTTAATGACCCCACCCCCTCCCATTTCTTTTTTTTTTTTTGATTAGCAGGATATGACGCAACTTTTGACGAAGGGTTCAGAGCCACCTTAAATTTTTTATTTAAGTTGGCTCTGAACCCCATATTTAGAATTTTGAATTCTTAAATACGAATCTATAGCAGTTCGAGTATGTCAATGTACGGAGTTAATTATGTTGAGGAAAAAAGTGAAGAAAAAGGAAGGTTGGAAAGCAACGAAATCATAGAGGAATCAAGGCGAATCAGATCAGCAGCTTTCGCTCAACGTTTATCTTTTAAAATCAACATTTTAGGGTTACTTTTGAAATGCAAAAATTCCCCCATGTCTGTTTTGATAAGTTAGTATCATTGTTATCCTCATAGGGAAGGACCGTCCAGAAAAACAATAAATGTATATTTGGGATAATTTCAAACAGCAAATACTGTTTTCGTTGTGATTTCTCCTATAAAGTCAATGGAGTGACAACATAGAAACAAGACATTATTTGTAGCAGACTCACCCTTTACAAGCAGTTAGGTAGGTTTTACAAAACAAATGTTCATGGCATGTTCCAGAACGTGGAACTTCACAACAAAAATGTTTCACATTCTACGCTAGCAAACTAAAATAAAATTGGAGGAGTATTTTCTTAACACGGTAAACTAATGTTTCTCTTTGTTGTATTGGTTAAACATCAGAGGATCAACAGCATTACCTCTGCACGTGAAATTCATTTCATGTTTGACGTCAAAAAAGTTATTAGCGCAGCCAGAAGCTAAAAATATTCGAAACCCTGCTGACATCTGTTTTTTGTACTAAGTCAACCTTTCTTAAGGTAAAAACAAGAAATAAGCCTCAAATAATTAATAAATTACATTTCTGGGGTCTTCTTTATCAGCAAACCTAGCTACACAACCCTTTCGATCTAAATGACGTGTGCCCAGCTCAGGCAGAGCACACTGACAGAACAACTTTCACATTTATTAGCTCTTTGCTCTTCCGTATGAAGATGTCGTTAACAATGTTGCACTTTCAAATGAAATCTTGTAATTATAGCTGGTAGTGTATTTTTTTTTGTGTTTTGGCGATATGATGCAATAACGTGTCAGAACTGCTGAAATTCAGCAAAATCGTGTCTCTTTCTTTTTGTAAAGTCACAAATCAAATTAAGTTCAGCATGAGTGTTTTGGAAATAAGGGACAGAGATGTCCTGTCGTTTCGCTAAATATGAACCAAATTCAAACTTCTGTCATTTCTCAACTGTCAAGTTTCGTGCCATAAGTCCGGTAAGGCCAAGTCGTACTTCCAAAGGTTTGTTGTCAGACTTCGGGGAAGATATCACTAAACATATCTGTTCAGTTATATCACAAAATACCGATATCTGGCTAACTTAAGCGTGCCTGATTAATAGACATCTTTTCCCTTGCTTTAAATTCCGCGAACAGTAACTATCTTATCCAATTAAATAACCGGAAAATACACAGTGGAAGCTTTTGGGTAAAAAAATATCTGTTTTCCAATAATCAATGCAAGAATGAATTCCAAAACCCCGCGAATTTACCACAATTAAAA